GGGGGGGGGGGGGGGGGGGGGCTGCGCGTGGTGGTAAAAAGGAGTGAAACCCCCCCCCCCAAAACCGGCGCCTGTTTCCCAGAAAAAAAGAAAAAAAACCAACAAAAAAAGGAAAAAAGAAAAAAAAAGAATAAACCAGAACGAGAACAAAAAAAAAAAAAACCAAACAAAAAAAAAATGGAATAAAAATGTGGGTTTTGTGTTTGTTGGGGAAAGTGGAAAATTCTCGAGGAAGGTGGTGGAAAGGGGCCGGTGGCGGCTGCTGGGGGGGCACCTCGGGGACAACTGGGGACAAAGCTGGTGGCCACAGGAGGGGACGGTGACGCCGTGGGGTGTCCCCAGCGTGTCCCCCTGGGGAGAGGGGGCAGCGCCGCAACCCCAGGGGGTCACCAGCATCTTGGGGGGATCCTGGTCCTGTGGTGGGGGGGTGATGGTGTGAGCTGGGGTCACCCCCCAAGGCCAGGAGGTCTTGGGGTGTGGGGGCCACCAGCGCTGAGGACACCTCACCAGGGACACCACCGTTGGCACCAGCTCCAGTGACCACCAGCTGTGGGGCCACCTCACTGTGGCCACCAACTCCAGGAATGTCACCAGGGACGACAGCTTCGGGGACACACCGCCAATGTGGACACCAGCTGCAGGGCCACCTCACCATGGCCACCTCATTGTGGCCACCAGCTCTGGGGACTCCTCACCAACAGATGTAGCAGCTGCAGGGACCTCTCGCCACAGCCACCAGCTCCAAGGACCTGTCACCACCTTCAGGAATGTCACCAGGAACAACAGCTTCGGGGACACACCGCCAACGTGGGTGCCAGGGGCAGGGACACCCCACACCCATAGCCACCAGCTCTGAGGACATGTCACCACCACAGGCACCATCTCCTGGGACATCATCTCCATGGAAACTTCACCAACATGGTCACCAGCTCTGGGGACACCTCACCATGGGAACCAGTGTCAAGGACATCACCACTCCAGGCACCAGCTCACCATGGCCATCACCTCCAGGGACACCCCACCAATGTGGACACCAGCTGCAGGGCCATGTCACCATGGCCACCACAGCCAGGGACACCTCACTGAGGCCACCTCACCATGGCCACCAGTTCTGGGGACCCCTCACCAACAAAGTAGCCACTACAGGGACCTACAGCCACCAGCCCCAAGGACCTGTCACCACCTCCAGGGCCACCTCAGTGTGGCCACCGGTTCTTTACACCTCACCAACATGAGCACTGGCTCTGGGGACACTTCATTGTGGCCACCACCTCCAGGGACGTGTCACCATAGTCACCAGCTTCAGCGACACCTCACCACCATGGCCACCCGTTTCAAAGACATGTCACCATCATGGGCACCAGCTCTGGGGATGCCTCACCATGGGCACCAGTTCCAAGGAGATGTCACCAATTTAGGCACCAGCTCTGTGGCCACCTCACCATGGGCACCAACTTGGGGGGACACCTTACCACGAGCACCATCTCCATGGACACCTCACCAACATGGCCACCAGCTCCAGGGACACCTCACCACAGGCCCCAGCTCTGGGGACACGCCCCACCGCCATGGACACCAGCTCCAAGATGGGGACACTTCACCACAGGCCCCAGCTCTGGGGACACACCCTACCACCACGGACACCAGCTCCAAGATGTGTCACCACCATGGGTATGAGCCCTGGGGACACTTTACCATGGGCCCCATCTCCATGGAGACCTTGCTACTATGGTCACCGGCCCTTGGGACATGTCACCATGGCCACCAGCTCTGGGGACACCTCACTGTGGTCACCAGCTCTGGGAGCTGGTACCAGCTCACTGTGACCAGTCTCTGGGGACACCCTCCCATGGGCACCAGCTCTGGGGACACCTCACCACCATGGGCACCAGCTCCGAGGATATGGCACCACCATTGGTACAAGTCCTGGGGACACCTTCACATGGACACCAGCTGCACCTCACCAACATGGCCACCAGCTTTGGGGACATCTCACCACAGGCACCATCTCCATGGACACCTCACCAACATGGCCACCAGCTCCAGGGACATCTCACCACAGTCCCCAGCTTTGGGGACACACCCCACCGCCATGGACACCAGCTCCAAGATGTGTCACCATGATGGGTATGAGCCCTGGGGACACTTCACCATGGGCCCCATCTCCATGGAGACCTTGCTACCATGGTCACCAGCCCTTGGGACACCATCTCCACAGGCAGGTGTCCCCTCCTGTCCTCCCCCCACCATCTCACACACTTTGGGGCCCTGAGTGCTGGGGTTTTGGGGTCCCACCTCCACCGTGGGCTCTGGGCACGG